AACATTTTAAAAAATGTTTGAACGTTTTAAAAAAATTATCCGACATTCGTGCAATTTTGAAAGGCTGCCTGCAGTTAAGGGGTTAACAAATATTTAAAAAAAAAGAGAATTACACTTACCAAATACGTGATTCCGTCGTCGATGCCAGCGTCATAAGGATAAAGATTCAGCTCCTTATGCTCGATCCAGGTGCCATTACTGAGACAGAGCTCCAGACCGGAAACTCCGACAATCCAATCCGGCGAAGGGTCTGAAAAATGATTTTTTACTTCCCATAACGCGGTTCACTGGCCAATAAGCTCAACTAGTCGGTTAGAACTTCCGGAAGTTCGGATTAAAATGCAAACAGTTCATGAAACTTCTCAGAACTTATCACTGTAATTTAAAAGTCCTCCCGCGGGCTGGTGGAACGTTCGTTCTTCAAGATTGTCCTAGGTTGACGCCGATTCAAGAACCACCACAATGATTATACATACGCATAGTAATTTTCATTCGACCTTTTGTGCGTTTAACACTCGAACTTCAATCATTTTGCTTTATTATTGCTTATTTTGGAATATGATATTAATGCTCTTGAGTACTGGCTATTCGCTGAGCGTCGATAATTTTGAACAAATTTCTATATGTATACAGGGTGTCCCAAAATTATTGTACAAGCGGGAAATGAGAGGTTCCCGAGGCCATTTGTAGTAACTTTTACCTTTGCGATAATGCAATCCCCGGCTTCGTTTACGAATTATTAACGAAAAACAGTGACCAATCAGAGACGAGTTCAGCTGGCGTGAAGCGGCCATTAAACCAGGAATATTTTTGTATAAATAAAACGTATTGATGCGGTTTTCCATGACGTATTGTTTTGTATGAATTCTTTCGATTAATCAATTTATTTTTACGCGACACAAGAAAGTTGAACAATCATCTTACCCAGCATGGACACCAAGGACATAAGATGGTGTTTTTGGTCGACGCGGAAGACAGCGAAAGTTTTGCCAGTCACATTAGGGTAACTTATTCCTCTGGCCTTAATTATCGTTCTGATGTGCTCGCTCTAAGAAGAAAAGAAAAAAACGAGAAATGTATACAAATAGAATTTTCCACACAGACATATTTGTACAATTTGTATCGACTGTGACAATTTTAATATTCATTAAGTATTTGGAATTCTTAACTTATTCTTAACTTAATTTTAATTAAATTTAAATGTTCTTCTTCTTCTGTGGTTTCTTTAACGTCGCATCGACAACGGAGATTTTTAGAGATGGAAATAGATCAGAAAACTACAACTTGTCATATACAAGGTGTCCCGCACTTTTCTGTAAATTGTTATACAACAGAAAGTCCATAAATGCTTTGTTAAGAATTTGCGACGGAAATGCAAAATATGATTCAAACGCTGCTAAGCGTACGTACAGTGCGTGTAGAAAGTATTCGTACACCATTTAAAACGGAATAACATTTTTGCGATTGGACCAAGCGGTTTAAATTCTTTTTCGGATGTTAGAGCGATTAGTTTAGTTTATTAGACAATGGCTAAAAAATTATCTTCAACAATTGCAATTTGTTGGCACGATTGTCAACAAATTTCAGGAAAGTTTTTCAACCTTCGTGAAAGTAATCGTTCGATGATGAATAATTGTGTCAATATAATTTCCGGTCATTTACTTGATCCTTCAGCTCAGATTCCAGTTTTCTGGTTGACCCAAGTTTTGCCACCTGTTGCAAACCGACGCTGGCCATGCCATTGTATCTCCAAAAGCTATAATCGACTGTGTGCGATGCTCCAATCACGTCTGAGAATCTAATGAGCCATCCTTTGCTGGGAAAGTCCTGTATAAAAACGAGAAAATCACTCGAACAAGATACAGCAAATTCTCCCTAATTTTCCTTCAACTTCCAAACGAAGATGGACAATTTGGGAAGAGGTGATACGATTATTCGGGAGCCTCGTGGCTCATTTTTATAGTTGCCGATTGTCAACAATTATAAAAACGAGGTGCATTTGTGATTACTTTGGTTTCACATTATGATTATTTTTGGTCCATTTTTATTTAGAAGCTGAAGGAAAATTAGGGAGAATTTGCTGTATCTATGTTGACATAAAAATAATTTAAGACTATAATGATGCGCGTCGGACACATACGGGTGACACTAATTTTTAACTAGATTTTGAAAATCGTTTTTACCGTAACACAGAACAAACTGAATGTCACTAGGATTGTTAAAATAAGAAAGAGTTAAATTAATATTCCCTACGGTTTTCTAATATCGGTTTCATTAATTAAACAACTTCGATATTGCAAAAATTTTTCGGTTTTGGCATTCGGCAGTTGACGCGTTGAAATTAGTGAACGGAGGGAACACATTTTTATTTATCTATATAATAATTATGTAATTATATATAAATTAAATATATAATTAATAAATATATAATATATATTATATATATATATATATATATATATATATATATATATTAATATATATAATATATATATATAATATTAATATATATATTATATATATATAATATATATATAATATAATAATATATATATATAATATTAATTATATATAAATATATAATATATAATTATTTAATTTATATTATAATTAATTTAAAAAATATTGTGTCATGCGTCGCGTCGCTTCTTGTAGACTGTTTCAAACAAGCTCGACTTTTCCGTCGGTAATAATCCACCGGTATATTTGTATTTACATTTTCAACAAAGATAACTGAGCACCGGAATATCGCTGTTTTCAGCCAACGAAATAATGCTGCGGAAATAATTTAACGAACAAGCGGCTATGTTTTATTTGTTGCGAAGTCCGGTGCATTTAATTATCGGATTTATGGTTGTTATGATCACCTTGTGGCCTCTCGAATTTACAAATTAAATGCAAACGCGGCCGGTAAAATCCACCAGGACCGTGGAATTCCTGGTTAATGTAAACGTCAAAGGTTCGCGGCAAAGCGTGAACAGGCACTGATGAAACATTGACAACCTTCGTGAATCCAGAAACCGTGACGGGATAATTATGTGGGAGGTCGGTAAATTTATTCGTTAATTACATTGAACATCTCAATTTTCTCGTGGTTCTACCAAGCTCTCGTGCCTTTGTATACAACCAAAGAGAGAGAAATTTTAAACACAAATATGTATCTATTTTAGAGTGTTTGCAAACATTTTCGTTTTGCTTTTCACAATTTAAGAAGAAAAAATATCCAGATGCTTTCGTACAAATTGGATAACTTGTTAAACGAAATGATTGCTGCTGGAACATTTTCGTAGAGTTTTCAAAACTTATTAATTTTATTATTATCACTATTATTATTATTATTATTATTATTATTATTACTACTACTACTACTAC